TTTGCTTTTTTTTTTTTTTTTTTTTTTTTTTTTTTTTTTTTTTTTTTTTGGTAGAAACCTAGTTTTTTGTGTAAATTTTTTTTTTTCATGTAGTAGTTCAGTTTAAAATTTTGTAGCCCGATTTTGGATCCAATTCTGGATCCGTCCCTGCTTCATGTTGGTTAAAAAGTTAATATTCACTGGAGTATGTGCTTTTAGAGGGTGTTTGAGCCCCATTTTTATTAGAAAATGAATTTTAGAATAGTAGATTGATTGATAATGTGTGGTTGAAAAATAAGGAAAAATTTTAACATTATTTTAATAAAGAATGCGTGATTGAAAAAAAGAGAGAAAAATATATTTTAGAAAAAAATAGGAAACAAACATAGCTGTTTTACTGAGGATGGAACGGAAGTTGTTAATGTGACATGGCTTGTTCGTTTTCTTATTGTAGTGGACTTTTTATATCAACAGTTGTATTATTTGACTTTCAATAGCCAATTTTTTTAGCAACTTGTATTATTTGACTTTCAATAGCCAATTTTTTTTAGCAAACCTTTGTTTCGACTGACTGTTCAAACTTAAGGTTGAGCAAAAAAAATTTTGAAAAATCGATCAAATTAAATCTATTCGATTTGATACAAGTGATTAGTTTGGTTTGATTTTCTTTTAAATAAACCATGGTAGGTTGGTTCAATCATAGTTTGAAGTTTCAAACCACCGGTTAACTGAACCAACTCAACCCACTTACATATTTATCTTTTTTTTTTCAAGAAAATTAAAAATAAAAGGATAAATCTTAATCTCATAACTATATCACAATTTCCTCCAACCTATGATGTTGTTGGCAAATAATAGTACTAAAAATTTCCTTTAATAAGCTCATTATGTTATAATTAGTTTTTTTTCCTCCACTTAGATAGTCAGATTACATAACTATTGACCTGATTTTATTTGTTAGTCAATAATTCTTGTAATATAAAGTTATTTAGTTATTTTAGTTCTTGTAATTTAATTGGGGCCAAAATTTGGACAAATTTTTTTTAAAAAAAAATCAATTTGGACTAAAAGTCCAAACCAACTAACCGAATCGAACCAAACCAAATTGAATTGGGATGGTTTAAGAGTTAGAGTGAGTTGGTTTGGGTTGAAATTCACCCAAACCAGTTAAAATTCAATTTGGACTTGAAATCCAAACCGATTAACTGAATCGAACCACCGAATCGGTTTGATTTAAGAGTTAAAGTGGGTTGGTTTGAGTTGAAGTTCACCCAAAGCGATTAAAATTCTCCGAATCGAATTTGCCAGTTAGAGTGTGTTGATTTGTGTTGAAATTCACCAAAATTGAATAATTTGGTTTTGGTTTCGGGTTGGAGTCGAAACCAACCCAAACAAAATTGCATCCAGGCCTAATTCAAGTATTTTTGTAAAAAATTATTTATTTATTTATTTATTTATTTATTATTGCAATCCTGATTAAAATTTTTAAAGAACAATTAATAATCGGATTTAGGCGTTGTTCAATTTTTGTTTAGCAGTTATATTCATTTTTTGTTTTCAAGATTGTTGAAGATGAATTATAAAAAATATTTTTGTAAAAACAACTAAATTGGTAAAAATATCATGCGATATACGAAAAAGAAGACATTCTTATACAGTTACGTTCAAGATACTGAATTGGCTTGGATTGAATAGGGTATTGAATTGAACGAGAGACAGCAATTTCATTTTTCCAGTCTTATCATGTGTTAGACCATTTGAATTCCTGTAAAGGTTGTCATTAAGTTTTAGAGATAAAAGACGTGCCTCATAAGTTACTCAGGGGCGAATCCAGCATTTTGAGTGAGCATGGGTGATGGTTGACCGTTTTCGTCGATCGCAATAAAATATTTAAAATTAAATATAACAATTATTTTACTAATAATGAAGAAATATTAATTTTGTGATAAAAGTTAACAAAATTCAATGTTGCCCCAACGGTCAAACTTTGCATAATCCAAAAAAAGAGAAAAGGTTCGAATCGTTTTAATTGCATTAAATTTTTTTAAAAATCCATTCAGTCAAGCCAGTCGCATACTGGTCTGTCTGCCAATCGGAAGAAAGCTCTAGTTCGTAAAGCTATGAAAAGCACCCTGGAAAGCATAGTTAGAAGGGAAAGCGAACCCAAGCAAGGTCCTCTCCATTCGTATCTCTTTTTCCAATTTTAGTCTCAATTAGTTCAGAAGATTGAATGGAGCATATAAAATTTTGTTACATTGAGTATCAGGAATTATACAGTGCCATAGTGATCAAGTTCTCAGAATCTTAGAGAAGGTTCCAGGTTCGAATTGCTTCCTTTGCATTACTTTTGGCAAAAACCGTTGAATTAGAAATTTTGCGACACAAATTGCTTTGGAAGAGTTTCAAACCCGTGAACTCCAATTTGATTGTGGTAGCTCCAACCGACTAAACTACGTAGAATGTTTATACATAAAATGAATTATCAATTATATAATATAAATTATTTAGCTGTTGCCAACAAAACAAATTTGTTCCCGACGAATCTAGCACAGGCAATCGCATGGATTGGCTAGTAGCTAGATCCGCCCCTGAAGTTGTTAATGATATTTGCAATTGTTCACTATCAATCTATTATAGTCGTTTTACATGACATACATCTAATAATTAATTTGATACATGAGGTAATAAAAAACTATCATATTAATGCATTAAATCAGTAACCGCTACATGTATATCACGTAGGCAATTGAGATAATGAATGACTGTAAATAGTATTGCTCCTCGTAAGTATAAAAAGAAAATCATATAAAATTAGAGTAAAGAGTAAAGTAATTACACTTAAAAAACAAGAACTAGCTTTTTATAACATACGTGGATACAATTTGAAATCCCTAAACTCTTATTTAACAAATCCAAAGCTGCCTATTATAAATGATTACATGGCATAAAATGAAGAAAATGAGAAATGTAATGACAGTGCTCATATGGAACTTGTTACAAGTTGAAATCTTCATTTGAATAAGTATTTTACTATCCCTGGAAGGTGAATGCCCATGAAGTAGTCACCCCACTTAATGGATTTAGGATCAAAGTAGAAAATATCTGTCTCAACGTTGCTTTCTTTTGCTGCCCTTCGCAGTTTTTCTGTGTTTATATCATCAAAGCTACAAAAAGAAAATACGGTTCATGTTTTAATTAACTCTCGTTCACTCGTGTTTTGTAAAATAACTAATTTTCACGATAACGATGTAGAAATGAAAGATACTTACACTCCTTTGAAGAACAAATAAGGTTGATAAAGATCAATCAACCTCATAACGTATTTGATCTTTCTGTACATATTAAGATACTCGTTCCGGAAGTATTGGCAACACGCTGCATTCAGTAATTGTAATCCCTGGAGAACAATAACAGGAAAAAAAATAAATAAATAAAGGGATGTATTTGTATGTCACCACATGATTACCGAAGAAAAACCACCTACTCAAGTCCAACCAAAGGAGGTAAAACATAATATGCTCCCATTTGGGGGCAATTTTTTACCCAAAAAATTCAATTTTTTGACCAGCATTATTTTGGAAAATAATGTTTTGAATAGTGATTTTTAGAAAAATATGTGATTAAAAGTAGAAATAGTTCTGAGTTAACATGCAAAATATTTTATTGTGTGAATATATTATTGAAAATGAGTATGTTGAGAAAAGAATTTCAAATAATTGTTGTCAAATAGGGAATTATATGAACTAACCTTTAGTGGGAGCAAGTAGCGAATCGTTATGTATGATCGGAAATTATCCATTGTGCTTAGCACTTTGACCTTGCCAACAATGACAGGTTTGCCTTCCTTGTCAATCCAAGGGTGCTTGGTGAAGTATTGGAGGCCATATTCCTGAAACATTGTACTGTCCATAGGGTTTGATAAAGAAGATCCGATATGGTATATGGTCTCATTTGGTTGATTTGCATGAGCAACCATGGCTACAATCATTGCATTCACCACCATGTCTGCTGGGATCTGCATATAAAGTTTTCAAAATAAACACAAATTTCATAATCCCGTGTCTAGCACGAAACTTAAGAAGTAGAAAATTTACCAAATCAATTACGGTCGTGGGATCACCAAGGAAACATGTTAGTCTTCCTTTGCCATAACTAACAGCTAAGCTATCGATGGTTCTGTGAAATCATTAAAAATAATAATAATAAATAAAAAAATTAAATTAAATTAATTTGCAACAATAATAAAGAAAAGAAATATAGTCGAAATCTAATATTTCAATACTCGTGGGAAGTAAATTAGACGAAGAGTGAAACGGTAAATTAAATTACCTGATGGATCATGCGTACAATTTTTTTTTTAAAACTCCCTTTCTCATTAATTACTCACAATGGGAGTGGGGACCACAAGCTTACATTTTTTAAATTCACATGGGTCTGCTAATTTTGTGAAAATGAGTACACCATTTTGTCAACAAAAATTTGTACAATTATCTTTATCCTTACCTGATTCCCTCTACCCAACCTGGGAAGGGTTCTTTGTAAGTACTGGAAACAATGGTAGGACGAATGATGACAAGAGGCATATTTTCTTTCATGTGCCCCAACAGCATCTCTCCCATTGCCTTGGTGAAAACATAGGTATTTGGCCATCCATATTTCCTTGCTCTGATACAGCACATATGGAATCATAAAAAGGTGAATAAAACATGATTAATAAAATACAAAACAAATACTAAACTATTAGTTTGAAAAGGTTTAAGAAAAAAATTGAATTCATCGAAATTTGTGTGGGAAGGAAATATGGTTTTGATTTTCATCCATGAAGTGCACAATGGACTAGATCGATTCGATAACATAGCCTACCCACCATCCACACGCTGACCCAAGAACTCTCCTGGGAAACCTAATTTCTACTACAAGTGCGAGTTTTTCGGCCTTTGGCTAGAAATCGTCCTTGGGGGGGCATGATTAGTATCGATTTGTTCATTTTTAAAGAAACCATGTGTTTAGAAAAATACTATCCAGCACCTTGTAGGACAGCGTTTTGGATGGAAGATTAAAGTTACCTTTAGCATATCTTACAATTATTATCACATTGAATGTGTATATGTTCTATTTCTCTGTCCTGTCTCATAAATAGAATCTACTTTTTGTGAATATAGTTATGATATTGATCTCAAAGATGCAACATAAGATTGGAATTCTTTTAATCTCAACATTATTCGTATAATATTATTAAATAATAAAGAGTTTGTTCAGCTAACTTAAATTCATAAATCTTCATATATTTTGTTAGCTTGGACCAGACCGTACGTAGTTAGATCAAGGTAGGATACGAAGGGCTCCACAAGTGTTCACAAACGTAAAAAAAATTGGAGTAAAATGGAACAAGTGAAATTAGATCTAACCTTTGAATCCCCAAGTCTTTCATGGCTGATTTAATAGATTCTTGTGAAGAATCCTCGACCCTTAGCTGCTTTAATGTTTCTTCCGCCACTTCTCTCTCTCTATCAATATCGAGTTCACTTGTCCCATTAAGTGTCTCACCCAAGTAGTATGGAGTCTCAGATATGAGTCCCTCTTTTTCCCCACTAACGTATGCTGAAAAACAACATAGTTTTATTCTCAACAAATTTAGAACGAGAAATAGTTTTAAAAAGAGAAAAAAAAAAAAAAAGAAAAAAGAAAAGGAATTTGTTATAATTTAGTCACCATGGAAACCTAAAATTTAAGAAAAACAAAAATTGGAATACTAGTATAATAATCGACAACCAATAAAAATGGTTGTTGCAATTTGTCTATACATATACATACAACACATATAATTAGAAGGAATATACTATTTGTACTGCGATATTCATAACGGTGTCCACATCCCTCACATGGAGGGGATAATGCGGTATTCATAATGATGTCCATATCCTTCACATGGAGGGTCCTTCTTGTGAGGAATGTAGACACCGTTATGGACAACTTGATATGCATGCAACAATCCCATGCTTGCAAAGACAAATTAGTATATTTAATGTCGTACACCTTATCTATACTTCACTAAGAGTAGGAAAAAGAACATTTAATGTACATCAAGGACATGTTGTGTTTTGCTATCCATTAAGTTTTTTGAAATTTCTCCATTTACTACAGGATTATTTTCATCATTTTAATCAACGCTTCTAAGGTCAAATTCCTTCCTTACCTGATGTCTAAGAAGTAGAAAAAGGTCCATTAATCTAGGAGAAAAATGGTCAGCTCTTAGCATTTATATCTTTTCCAAGGTTAACAAAAATATAAATGAAAGTCTTCAACATGTTTCCTCACCGTACAAATATATACTAACCTGTAGATACATGAACATGAACCTTTAATTTGGAACATTTTTTGGAGAAATTCAAAGCATGCACAGCTCCAAATGTATTAATGTCTAGTGAAACATCATATCTGCAGAAGATAAAAAATAAAAAATAAAAAATTACATTTTCTTTCACTTCCCAATTTATTTGTTGTCAAATAATTTAGACTTTTGCTATATGCACAGGGGATTTGTGCAGAAGCTTTACAGATGCCTGTGCGACGTGCATATGTGGGTGAATTTGAAAATGATTAATGCATTTGTACAGAGGAAAGTTTCATAGAAGATTGCCAAATACTCTCATGATATGAATATGGGGCCATCGTGAAAAATAAATTGTCATAAAATATCCCACCCACGCCCTACCTATGTGTGTGTTCTAATACATCAAGCAAAACCCATTTGAAAACTGTCTTTCATGCTGCCTGTACAGATCTTTTGTGCAGATGGCATTTCTCGATAATTTAAGCAAGAAATCAATAATTTGGAAGCCCATATATACCTTTCATCAAAGTTTGTAGTGGCTGCTAAATTAACTACAACATCAACTTCTTTCCACATCTCCTTCAACAAATCTGTGTCTTTAACTCCCAAGTTCTCACAGGCAATGTCACCAGGCACAACCACAACTTTTTGCGAAATAAAGGAGTTTAGATTTCTACCGCATTTCTCTTTAAGAACCCTGAACAAATCCTTTGCTATCACCTAAAAAAGTGAAAATTCTATGAATATCGAATATAATTCTTCCATTTTAAACCACCTTGTCTCAAAGTTCAAGATTTAAGAGTGGACCTATTTCGTGACATCGATTCATTTTCTCATCAAATATCTAGTAACATGCAAAATATTCATAAATGGGCAACGGCCTTGAAACCTGAAGGCTGGTGTGTGTATTTTTTATTACCTCGGTGTTGAAACGTTGCATAGCAGACTTTGAATCTGCTGCCCTTAAAAGAAGATAAAGCTTCTTCACATTTGGTTGAACCCTAAGAATCTTCTCAGCAAAAACTGCATCCACAATTCATATTCATTAACCAACTACTCCTCCATGTTTTTATGGAAAGAGAGAGAGAGAGAGAGAGAGAGAGAGAGAGGGTACTCTTTGCCAGAAAACCAGTGGCACCGGTGACAAGAATGGACTTGTCCGCAAGAAAATGAAGAATGCTTCCCAGCTCCATTCTAGTAGATAATGGAACACAAACACACCCACAGAGAGAGAGAGATAATTGAATGGATGGATTCGTGCCGCAGGCGTATTGGTTAATTTGCTATACTGCTATGATCTTGTACCGTGAGCAAAGCATACAAGCATAGATATATGTATATATAGATAAATAAATATACACACATGATACATACAGTAAGAAAAGACCAAGTTTGCCTTGTGAAGTTAAGAAACACATGTTCGTCGCAATAAATGAAGGTTAGGCTTGTTTAGTTGGATGTTCGTGTGCGATAAACCTACCCCTGCTAAAATTTACCGGTAGGGGTCCATTTCATAGGTCATTATTTATTATGGAAAATGGAATTCAAATTCCAACTTTTATTTTTTTTTGACTATTTGATAGTATTTTTTTTTCAAGTAATTGGTATTCATGCCACCTAGACATTTTCAAGTCCCACCAATATGGTGGGAATTTATTTTCTAGGCTACTGTTGCAAAAAAAAAATATTATTATTTTTGGAATAGAAACAATTTTTATCTTTAATTGTAAAAAAATGTATATATATTTTCCTTTAATGATAATTTCCATATAAAACAAAGTCAAATGAACACCAAGAGATAGATGATTTTCTTGGCTCTTTTTTTTTTTTTTTTTTTTTTTTTTTTGCAATGGAAACAAATTCCATCCACAATACCAGTAAATTTTATCATTTTAATTGACAATTTTTATATAAAACAAAGTCTAACGAATACTAGAAAAACACTTTTATTTTAACATTTTTCACGTGAAAAATGTTAAAATAAAAGTGTTTTTCTAGTATTCGTTAGACTTTGTTTTATATAAAAATTGTCAATTAAAATGATAAAATTTACTGGTATTGTGGATGGAATTTGTTTCCATTGCAAAAAAAAAAAAAAAAAGCCAAAAAAAAACATTTTTTTTTGGGTTTTTTTTTTTTTTTTTTTTTTTTTTTTGCAATGGAAACAAATTCCATCCACAATACCAGTAAATTTTATCATTTTAATTGACAATTTTTATATAAAACAAAGTCTAACGAATACTAGAAAAACACTTTTATTTCAACATTTTTCACGTGAAAAATTTATATCAATCAAACACAATAATTGACAATTTCTAATAAAACAATTTCTAAGCAAATCAATTACCTAAAATTCGTTTTCTTTTCACTCAAATTCCATCTTTACAATCAACGGACCATAATTGTAATGTAAATTTGTAGGAATTAATTAGAAGGTGGAAGAATATTATTCTAAGTGACGTGATTTAGTGTAATTTGGACAAGTTGTTCGATTAAAAAAATTTAGCCGATATTAATAAATGTTGATGGATTGTGTGGTTAAAAAATTGATAAAAGTAGTGGATTACATGAAATAGTTAAGATTAATTGTTTAATTTGACCTCAAATTTTTAGTTTAACTTATTTCAAATAAGTGCTTAGTATGTATTTTTAAATTTTGGATTTCATGTTGATCCAAATTTTGCACATCTCTAAAATTTACAAAATAACAAGAGTTTTGCTACAGGTACTCAGAGCTTGACACTCCGAGTTACCTGCTGCTCACATGAGGTTGGGGGCCCCACGCCAATAAATGTGTGGGGCCCGAACCCCTCACTCCATGACACTCCGGGTATAAATAACAAAACTCAAATAACAAGGGCTAGACACTTACGTTAAGATAGCAATAATAAGATCCATAGGATTAAATACTTAGCTAACAATGTAGAGTATGATGCGGTGAGAACGATGAATGTTTAAAAACATATTGACTTTGAAATGTTTGTTCGGTCAAAAATAAAATAAAAACCCTCCAAAGTCGCAGACTGTTGAAGCTTTATAAAATAACTAAATAATAAAAGCAATAAAATTTAATAGAAAAGGGAAATTTTGTCAAGCCCGAACTACGATCCATCTTTATCTGGTCGGGATGGGAACATGGGTTGTGGCGGTGGGAAATCAGTGAAGGTAGGGTTTGTCATTTTTGTCTTATTTCTTTTCATTTTCCATTCTATTTTTATGAAAAAAAGTGATTACGTATTTCACATCTCAAAATGTTCAAAATGTAAGAACCCTTTCCTTTTTATGGCAATATGAATAGAAACCATGGGAGCAAGCTAGTTATTACAGTGTATAAAATTGAAAATTTAGCTCCCGTCTGATTTTGATGAAAATCAAATTTCCAGTAGATTTCGATAAAAATTAATTAAATACTTGATTAAAAAGTTAATAATAGTTGTAGGCCCGTAAAATGTGTTGTTAAAAATAAATTTGAAAAAAGAGGGACCAAAAATAGACTTTATATCATATGCAAATTTAATACGATGGGGACATACGGTTCAACCTTTCTAGCAATTTATGAATAGAAGGTGCAAATGACAGGAATGAGATAGTCTCAACCTTGCTGATAGCCGTAGTATAAGGGTTCGATTCCTTAGATATGAAATTAGACTCTTTGTGAACACCTGTGTACGGACAAACTCTTATTCCCTAACCTGATGGGGTACATTTCGTGATTTACCTCCCTCATGATACTCCAGGGATAGAACGATGAGAGCCCTCAAAGTTGGAGTTCAACCTTTATTAATATTAATAGAAGGTGCAAATTTTGGTAATATTGCTGGCCTTCCACATCTATATCCCCAACGTCCCCTTCCCCAACCAGGAGAAAACGTACGAATATAGACAAGTTAGTGCTGCTGATATTAATAAGGCATGTAAAACAAAAGTACATGCCCATCGATTTACTTNCCTTTTTCAGCCGCCCATATTAAACTCTAGCAACCACTATCCGTCCCATCCCGTCCCCTGTCAAACGTCACACTTGAAGTCTTGCACATGTTCTGTGGTTGCAAAATTCAAGTCGTGTTAAGAACACTGCATTGGAGTGTCATGAATTTTAGAAGAGAACCTAGTAAAAAATTTATGACAAAGCGATGTGTTAATAGACAAGTTGAGTTCTCGTCAATTTTCTGCAGTTATCATGCAAGGGGCTCTGTACACCCGTTTAGCTTCTTTGATAAGGCCGAACATTGAATAGAAAAAGACAATATTAAAATCATAGCTAAAAGTATTTTTAAGCCCTACATATTCAATTTACTTTGATATATGTTTCTTACGATGGATTGGTAGTACCAAAAAAAAAAAGTTCAAAAATTTTATATATTTTACCATCTAATCCTATTCAACACGGTATATCAAACATGTTAATTTATGTTTATGATAAACCAATATATCATTAGTTACTTTATATGTTACAGATTATCACCGTGCAAGGGCTTCATGTCTTCGTGTCTAGGGAAATATTTTTAACTTGTCAATCTTTATTCTCCAATAAAATATTTTGTCAACCCGCCAATATTGTAATTTAGTCATACAAAATGACTGTATTGTTATTAGGGATGACAACGGGACAAGTATAAAATGAGTCTGTCACTCTCATCCCCATCCCCATCTTGTCTTCTTGCCTGGTCCCTATACCCACGTAGCAAACCTGCTAATTCGAATTAATTTCAGAATAATTTTTGAATATTCGAATTTCTAGATTCATGAATCCAATTCAATTCAGCAAGATCTTTTATTCACATTTTTCCCCATTGGACTAGTTAATAAATATTATTGATTTTGTTTTTCTCATTTGTTAAAAATAACTTATGTTCTCATTAAAAATGATGATAAATTTATTTATTATTATTATTTTTTTATTTTATAAAAACTTAAATTTGACGTTACTTTTAAAAGGGGCTAGTAGTGGGGGCGGGATTATGTTTTCCGTACCGGTCTCGAACCCGCTTCGAAGCAATGATCCGCATCCCGTCCTCGTTCTCGTCCCGATTACCCCAGTTAAGCCGGTAATCCCAGCTCCATTCAAGGGGCGGGGTCACAAGTATCTGGTTGAATGGATTTTTTTGCCATCGCTAATTGTTATTTTATTAAAATATCTTGCAACCCGTAGACAGTAATTAGGGCGAAGTTGACGAGGAAGATACTAGCTAGAGCTTATGGGAGGACAAAAATGACAAAGATATAAAGCAATATAGCATGTTTAGGAAGAAAATCACATATCAGCTCTCGTAACTTCGTCTACTTTGACGAGCATGACTGGGTAGTTCAAAATTCGTGCAAAAAGAAATAGAGATAACGTTCAAATGGACTAGAAAAATTCTCACCAAAATGTCTTGCGGGAGAAATTTCCTGATATATCTATCTATAATCTATCTATTACGTACATATCTTCTGACTTTTGGAGAATCCTCTTGCAACATGTTTTCTTGACTTAACCGATTACCTAAAACAGTAATGGGTTTGACCAAGCAATGTGATATGACTAGGTTTGGTCATCTTCTTCCAATTTTATTATCACAATGAGCCAATTATATTTATGCAGAAAACATAAGAGGTCCGATCTCCCGTTCTCAATGGATAGAAGATCAATTCTAGAAAACATAAATACAATAATACAAAGTTGACCTAACACTCCACACATTATACCTCTTTTAGTGCATATATCAGATAAGGTAGACAATATAGTAAAAGAAATTTTAACTGCTTTTAAATATAATTATATATTAGCTATACCGTATTCTATGTTACCAAAAAAATCATTAATAGTTTATTATGAAATAAGCTTAGGTTAAAAAATTTCATGGGCAAATGTAAGAGAAAACAGAGAAAAATGTGCATTTGGCCATCAAATAATTTCGAGTTATAAATGAAGCTTACGTTTGTCACACATTTAGTTTTGCAAATAATGAAACATTCGTGTACGAAATAAATGTGGCATCTTATTTTTCCCTTTTATGGACCATCCAATTCAAGACACGTAGAAGAATATCTTTTTTGAATGTACAAGTATCGAATTCAATCACTTAGAGCCTGTTTGGGAGTGATGTTGAGAATTAATTTTTTGACCGTTAGGAGAAAAGTAGAATAGACCCGTGAAAGAAGAAGTCAAATATGACGACTGAAATAGTGAAATAACGATCAAAGAATTAATTTTTTGGATCAAAAAATCGCTCCCAAACAGGCTCTTAATATATAGTTGATGGACTGCCAATTTAAACTATCTATCCACAAAATTTCTTGGACGTTGAAGAGCATTGTTGGGCTAATTAAATTAGTTGACATCTTGTAATTGATAATTAATTTATTTTCAAGATTTCCCTTTTCCATGAAAAGCGAC